CTCCTGTTCAGGGTTTTATACTGCCTTTCTCACAGGTTTTATGTATGAAAACATAATTATATCACTGAAATAAAATATCAAAAATGTCAACAAATTTGATTCTGTTGGCATTCACACACAAATGAATCCTTTTCCCAGAAAGGAGCATTTTGTATGTACAATCTTTTACAAAAGAGTCTAGCTAAGCAGAGAGATAATATAATTTTAAAAAGTAATATTCATAAGATCATGGGTAAGAGGGGATGTGTAGGCACTGCTATATTTAAAATGGATAATCAGCAAGGACTTACAGTTTAGCACAGGGAACACTGCTCAATGTTACATGGCAGCCTGGATGGGTGGGGAATTCAGGGGTGAATGGATACATGTGTATGTATGGCTGAGTTCCTTTGCTGTCCACCTGAAACTATCACATTGTTAACCATCTATACTCCGATATAAAATAAGAAGCTAAAAAAATTTTTTAAAGAGAGGATATATAAGAACTGAGACTGGCCCTGCTCTTGAACAAGCAAACAGGTCTCACTCAGGAGGCACGTGGTGGCAACAGCAGCTGTGAGCCCCTATCTTCCCTGCATCCCTGCATATGGCAGCTTCTCACCACAGTCTCTAAGTGGAGAGTAAGTCTTGCCCAAGTTGAGGTCATCCTGTCCATCAAAAAGAGCAGGGAAACATCAGGTCACATTCAAAATGGGAAATTACCTCAAGGTCTAATTTTTATTTTTGTTGGTTATTACTTTCTGGATAAGACAGAAGCCCTTGTCTATTTTTTTTAATGTGGTCTCGATTTTTTCCATACTTCTTACTCAGGGACTCTCACCTAGCATCCTTTCTCCAGGACATGCCTGCTTTCTTTCATCCTGTAGTCATTCGTAAATCTAAAGACTTTTTTTAAAAAAGCATATTGGGTCCACACGTATCATGTGTAAGGTGAATTTATAGTATGTTTTTAAGGTAAAATATAAAAGCTGGTGGCTTAGATGTCTGTTAGAGTATAAGCTCCTTGAAGGCAGGGAATTTTGTCTGTTTTGTCCACTGACATCTCCCAAGCTGCTAGAACAGTGTCTGGCACACAGTGGGTGTTCAATAAATATTTGTTGAAGGAATTAAGGTTTCTATATTTTTAATCCTAACTTTAATTCTCATTGATGTGTTATGGAAAGCATATTGATATATAAAGCACATTTTTTAGAATGGATAATTTCCTAGAAACCTACAACCTACCAAGAGAATCATGAAAAAATAGAAAATCTGAGCAGAACCACTATTAAAAAAGAAGATGAATCAGTAGTCAAAAAACCTCTCAATGAACAACTATAAAAATGAAGGAAATCCCATCATTTGCAACAGCATGAATGCAACTTGAGGATGTTTTTCTAAGCGAAATAAGTCAGATAGAGAAAGATAAGCACTGTGTAATTTCACCATATAATAATATCTGCATTACTAGGTGGCATAAATGGAATAAATGTATAAATGGAAAGTTTAAAATCCTCTATCTCTAATAATCCATATTTCTATTTCTCAGTTTACCTAAGTTTGATCAAGTATAAATCTTGCCCTATTTTCTTGTTTAAATATTTATTTATCATTGGTTCTTCCTTTGTTTCTTCTAGGAACTGATTCTTATTTTCTTCACAGTTTTAAGACAACTGAAATCCTTTCGGATTTATTTCTCATCATCGCCATACATCCATGCTTCCCCACACCACTTTTAGTCCCCTTGATTAAATTTGCTTTCTTGATTTGTTTCCAGGCCTGGATTATTGTCATCACTGTAACACACTCTCCAATCATATGAACATCCTCCCTAGGACTATTGATCTCTTTGTTTCCTTCCCCCTAAAGGACCGTGAGCCATCAGTCAGGTCCAGTGCCTTCTCTTTGTAGCTGCTTCTCCTTCCCTGCTTCCTCTCTTCATCTTACCACCATTCTCCTGTCTCTTACCCACCAAAACCAAAATCCCTCCACTGATCCAGCCTTCCCCCTCTCTCTTTTTATCCCCTGTAAAATGGTAACATCTTCTCACAGTTTTTATTTCTTCATGTCTATAGCTCAACTTACTGTAAAAAGAATTTTCCACCTTCATATACTTAATAAGTTGTTTTAAAGTCACTTATAAACCCCTTGGTATCACTTAATACCTCAGACCTTTCCTTCCTTGTTGGAATTCTTTCCTCCTGTGTTTCCACTACACCTTGCTCTAGTAATGCACCTTCTGCCACCCTCACAGTTCTTCTACAGCAAGGGTTTGTTCATTTTATTTATTTTTTGCATAGCTTCTCATTTTGCTGTTCAGAGCTCTGTCTTTGGTCCTGGTCTCAAACTCACAAAATTTCCATGGGAAAACTAATCAATTCCTATCATTTTAATTTCCACTTCTTCTTTTTTAAAATGATTCCCACATTTATATCTTTAAACTCTCCACTAAACTCCAGATCTCATATTTCTGGTTGTCCTCTAGATATCTGCTCAATGTATGTATTCCTAAGCCTTCTAAAATCTATTAATTTTATTCCCTTCCCCAAGTTATGCCAAATGGCAATTTTCCAGAGGAAATAGGCTCCAAATTTTTTATCCTTAAGTGAAGATGATGTGTCAATCTCTCACCAAATAAAAGTATATATATACATGTATATATGTATATATATATGACTTGAGTAAAAAATAAACCTGTAATATTTTTTTGGAGTTTGTTGTTATTGCTGTCTGGATCAGCTGGGCCTAAATGATTCAAAATCCAAAACCAAATTCATTGCTGTTTCCCTGAACACTATTAACAGAATGAAGGAACATGCTCTTCTCACCTGCTCTTATTCCTCTATTCCATTTTCTTTGTGTTTTCTGAGCCACCAACATCTACCACTCAAGCAGGCCAGACACCTGAAAGCATATCTAGATTTCATGTTCATGTCCACCCACATTCCTGATTCAGATAGTTCTGTAGATTCTGTTTCCAAGTATCCCTCAAATATATTTCCATCCTTAGTATACATCTTCTCATTACCTGTTGCCTGAACTATTTCAGTGAGTTTGTAAATGATTTCCTTGTCCCTAGTATCAGGCTTCCCTAAATCCACATAGCTGTCAGAGTGACTTTTCTAAAATGAACTTTGATTATTTCATTCTCCTGTTAAAACCACTCACCAGTGCTTACAGAATAAAGCTGAAATGCTTTGCCACAGTATATCAGACTCAATATTCCAAGCCTTTTCGCTCTCCTCAACCACATCTCTGCTCCAGCAACACCTAACCCCTTGAAGCATTGGTCCTTCCACCCTTGCATCACACACACACACAGTCTGCTAGTCCTCAACGGATCCTTCTAGAAATCCCAATTTTGGTTTCTTTTACTTTAAGAAGGTTTTTCTGGTTTTGACACATATCACTTCTCTCTGTACTACTTCTTTGCTTAAAATGTGCTTTTGCTATTGAATGTGGCAATTTTTAAAAACCTTCGCTCATACAGCCACTGCGATGGCCATAGATGGCCATGGCTGTGATCCTCTTGAGAATAGGGGGATATCTTACTGCAAGTATATATGGAAAGTACAGAACTCAGCACATTACAGACACCCTAAAAGACGTTTACAAAATGGAAAGGATAAGCCATTTCCTCAGATAGCTTAGCATCTGCTAAGGGTTACATTTTTTACATAACTTAAAATTTATTGAGAGCTTACTGTGTGTCAGGCACTATAGCAGCTATTCTGTAAGTTTTATTTTATTTAGCCTAACAGTAATTCTAGGGCACTGAAACATGTATTAGATACCTATCCTTACTGATTTCATTATCTGAAGCAAAGCCTATTTCATCTTTCTGACAGGTAGGTCATTATAGGTTCTTGGGTATTAATTGGATGGATTTCTTTGCTACACAGTAATTGAATGAATAGCAGAAACATTACAGCTTACATTTGGGGGTTTTCTCCACACTTTCAAGAGGAAGTTCAGCCATTTTGTTTATCTATTTTTTATTTATTGGTTTGGCTGCATTGGCTCTTAGGTGCAGCATGTGCATGAGAGCTCAGTAGCTCCAAGGCCTGTGGGATCTTACTTCCCCGCCCAGGGATCAAATTTGCAACCCCTGAATTGCAAGGCACATTCTTAACCACTGGACCACCAGGGAACTCCCAGTTCAGCTATTTGGAACAAAAATTATGACATTGCTATATCATCTTTTCTTTGGAGCATAACATTTGTTACCAAGTTACATGGACCTCTATGATAAGTAACTTAAATAAGAGATACAGGCACAGAGGGGTTGATTAACTGGTTCTACATCGTAACTTTTCAAGATTTCATTATTACTCTACACACAGCCATCACCCACAAAAGAATTTGCTAATTTTCCCTGAGTGGCAAAATTCCAAGAGTGACAGAATTGTATAGATGACACTCAAGAGGACACAGATAAGACGTTGGAGAGCTCTAGGCCCAAACCCCATGACTCCGCTCTCCGGTCCTCCAGGCTGGAACGTTGCCTTTTATAATTCAGCTCTTGCAAATTTTTCATCTTCAAATAATAATAGGCAGATGTAGGAACCTAGTTTGTCTATATATTAAGAAACAAACAAGGGACTTCCCTGTTACTCCAACGGCTGCAAAGCCAGGCTCCCAATACAAGGGGACCCTGTTCCATCCCTGGTCTGGAGACTAGATCCCACATGCCGGAACTACCACCTGGGGCAGCCAAACAAATGATTTTAAAATATATTTTTTAAAAAAGAAACAAGAAACAAACAAACAAACAAAAAACAATATTCCTTTCCTAAGGAGTTCAGAACCAGTGGCCTTTGCTGAAGGCCAAAAGCCGTGGGACAGTGCAGCAATGACCTGCCACTTGGCCTTTTTTTGCAGAAATACACAAAACGTGTAGAATCGCTTAGGTTTAACCCCTCCTAGCCTCATCACTTGGAAATTGGATGCTCTGAGGAATGTTGTACCCCACCCCCGCAGCCAAGGGTGGAAGAGTGATTAACACTCGCCTGACAAAACAGCTTCCCGGGCCATTTGGGAGTTGCACGCGTTCGTCCCCGGGGTTCGGGCCGCTGCGCCTTCACGCGCAGCCTTTTTGTTTACTCCGCCAGCAGGGGAGAGAGGGAGCGAGCGTGTAAAGATGCTGCGGGCCCCGGGGGCTATATAAAGCTTTGGGTTCGGGCCAGGTGGGTGCCAGGGGCTAGCCTGTCCATGGAGATCGGTGAACGTACTGAGAGCCGAAGCGGCCAGCGCGCGCACCTCTGTCGCCCGCCGCCAGCTCCCGACCTTGCGGCGCGGCACGGGGGCGCGGACTCGGGGTGCAGCGCCTTGGCCCCGCCTCGCGCTTACCCCGCTCCAGCCCTCCCGCCCGCGCCTCCCCGGCTCCTCCCCTCGGCTCTCCCAGCCCCACACCCTCCCCTCCCCGGCTCCGCTGAGGTCTGGTCTCCTGGGTCTAGGTTCGCATCTTCTCTGCGCGCCTTGTGCTCCCCACCTCGCAGATCCGCAGGCTTCTGGAGACCGTGGATTGAAGACGGAGTAGAGAAGGGGCAGGAGGCGCCGCACCACGCCGTGGAGGCGGTGAGTGAGCCGCGCGTGGCGGGCCGCGCCTGCCGGGGGCGCCGTTGATCGACCCGCGCCGGGTACGCCGGCCACCGGGGAGACGAGCGCCCGGCCTGCCCCTGGGCGTAGTACCGCTCCCGCAGGTGGCCCTACCGGTGGCCTTGTCGGTGCCGTGCGCTGAGTGCGTCCGCCGCTCCCGGGACGCGAGCATCCTGCCGGGAGCGAGACTTCTGAGCCCCCGGGGTCACGTTCCCTGCAGACGGGAGGAACGCTAGGTCGCCCGGGTTTGCAGTTTTTTTTTTTTAAAAAAAGGGAGAGTGATAACTGCGATCCGTTTCCTTACACCCCCTCAGATGCCAGATGGCCCCGGAATAACGGACGCCTCAGGAAAGCTTTCCCAATACAGACACCCAGTCAGGTGAGTGACAGGCCTCATCGAAGGGCTCCGGCAGCGCCAGGGAAGGGCCTCGCAATAGCCCTGCTCAGCAGCTGATCCCGAAGTTTTTCTCTCTTGGAAAAATCTACCTTCAAGGTTTATCTTCCTCGTCCCAGAGGTCCTTTGCTCATGGAGTTGAAAAATGTAGTTCACTCTCTCACCTGAAAGAACGGTTAATCAGTGCCCACTCAGTAAGCGCTTTAAAATATCTATTGTGAAGAGGGAACGCGGGTAGCATTAGTAAAAGTAGAATGATGACGTCTTGTGCTTGCGAAACAATTTCTTTTTAATGCCAAAGGGTTTGAGTGAAACTGGCTTCACACCAGGCTGAGTGGAAATATTCTTACTCTCTTGCAAACCAGAATCAAGAGTGGTGTTCGCAATTGCGGTTTACAGCAAACCGAACAAATCAACAAATGGAACTTGAGACGGAAGAGAAAATGGAAACGTAATGAAAATCCCAAAGATTACCAAGGACCGTAAAGGGGATCGAAAGTTATTTGATCTAACAATTAAGAGCTAGGTTGCTGTTCCTAGTCACAGAAAGTCAGTCTTCCTGCAAGATGATTAGTAGCTTTTAATCAAGTGAAAGCTTAAGTCTTCATTGCTTGCTTTAGAGAGCTGTTAAATGAAGAGCTGTATAAACTTTGTAGAATGTGCATGTGTTTATAATAGCACGTAGTAGTTAATAAGTGTTCGTCACTCAGTTGTGTCCGACTGTTTGCAATCCCATAGACTAGCCTGCCAGACTCCTCTGTCTTGTGGAATTCTCCAGGCAAGAATACTGGAGTGGGTAGCCATTCCCTTTTCCAGGGGATCTGCCTGACCCAGGAATCCAACCAGGTGTCCTGCTTTGCAGGCAGATTCTTGACCATCTGAGCCACCCGGGGAAGACCATAGTAGTCAACTAGTGTTAATTAATTTCCTACCCTTTGCTAGCACTAGTGAAGAACACAGGAAAAAATAATCACAGCCCTTTGAAAGTGTTATAATGGTTTACTTTGGTCAATTTTATGACTAACTCTATCAGAGGCGGGGAGGTGGGAATGGGTTAGAGATGTGTGTATCGTAGATGTGATTACCTGGCTGAGTCTTGAGGTTAACCCAATGGAGAACCTGAGGGGTGGGGCAGAAGACATTGAGAGGAAAAAGAATAGCACAGTTCCTTCTGGGAGCATCAAGGAACTGGCATTTGAGTGTGTGGAGCTGTGGTCACAGCAGGGAAGCCAGAGCCAGATCTTGTACACCTTGGTACAAGACTTTTGTCCTGATCCTGTGTATGGCAATGGGAACTTATGGGCTTTATTCTGTAGGTGGTATTGGGGGTTACTCAAAAGATTTTAATTAAAATATTAATGTGATCAGATTTATGCTTCAGAAAAATCAGTAAGAAAATCGTATATAGCCTTAGTTAGAACATCAAAAGTGAACCTGGAAGTTACTGCAATTAAGGCATTGATGGAACTGGGTGAATTTGGGGGATGCTTAGTTGTCAGAGTAGATTAGGCTTAGGCTTATGATGTATTGGATATAGTAGGTAAATAGAAGTACAAAGACAGAATGGTTCCCAGGTTGGTGCCTGATGACCAGGTGAATGCTATACTAATGAAATGGAAATTAAGATTTAAAAGATAACTTGGGAACAAGATTAGTGTGTCAGATTTCCCATTTGTCATATTTCATGTGCATATGGGGCCTCCAAATAGATCTGTCCAGTAAAGAGCTGCATATACAGGTCAGTGGTCCAGAGTCCAGTTCTTAAGTGGAAATACAGACTTGGAAGGCTTTGATAAATAAGCAGTTAGGGGAATCATGGCAGTGGGTCAGGTCATCTGAAGGAGTGAAAGAGGAGAGATGATCATTCCTCATAAAATGTTGGGGGAAGGCCAGCATCTAACCTGTCTACAGAAAAAGAGAGGTGCACAAACATGACTGAGAACAATCACTCAGAACAGGGAAGAAGTCAGCAAAGTGTAAAGTCCCTGTAAGAAAGTGGCCAGTGAGAGATTCTGGGGATACAAAGTGCGATAATAATTAAACAACATTCTTTGGCTTTGACAGTTTTACACATTAGAAAATCAATTGCATTTTTTAGGAGCACTTTCCTTTCTGAACTACTGTAGCAGTTTCTTTGTATTTCTCTTTAAATTCTGTCTTGTATAGTATTATGTGTTTCTGATTCTTTTTACTCAATTATCAACTTCTTGAAGATAGGGATCATGATTTATCTATCTTTGAATTATGAGTTATGTTTGGCATAAGAGATTACTAAAATATTTATAGAATGACTGGATTACTGATGTTGCTTATTTAGGCACCCAATTTATAAACTTAACTGGCTAGAAACATTTATCAACTACATTGCGTATGTTTTTGCTTTTTAAAATGGAACATACTGAACATAATGAAACTTTCTCTTTGTTAGAATCAATCTGATTTGGGCACATGAGACTATTTATTGTACACTAAAATACCATGCACTCTAGTTGGTGGTGCAACCTTGTCCTTTTATTTCCCTTGAGTGAAAAATAATAGAAGATAAGATGGTAAGATTAATATTTGTTGTAAATTTGAAATTTTAAGGTAATCACATTTACATGCAAATTATTTGTACAAAATCAGTATTATTTTCAATATCTCAATACAGTGTTCCCAAATTTAGTTGGGTGGGGAAAAGGGAGAGAGATGGGATCAAGGTTGGGGTCAGAGATAGCCTTTTGAAAAAGTTGCTTTTTGTGTGTTTCTAAACTTTCTTTGATTCCATCTGTTTCTAAGAACTAAGTCTGAGTGTCAAACAAGATGCTAGGTAATTTCTGCCTTTGTGTAAGGTGCATAATATGTCATCTTTATAAAGTTGTTATCATCCCAGTATTTAATGTCATGGTAGGATTCATTTTTTCCCCAAAGGAATTTGGAAACTGGAAGATAAACTTTCTTCTGTATTTTGTAAGAATAAGTATATCCATAATCCCTGAAGTAAGCTATCTAAATATTGATCTTAAGCTTATGGAGGGTTTAATGTGAATTTGATCCAACTTATAACTTGGATAAAAATTTAAAACAATGAGTCAATTATTGATACTTTATCAAATAGACTCCATGAAAACTGTAATAGCAGCATTTTAAACTCTATTTAAATGCATAAATCAGTTGATAAATACATGGAGCTCTTGAAATTTGAGCATTTCATGAGAACAGAGATTCTGAATGTGGAAAAAAAAAATAAAGCATATTATGTTGTCTGCTTCTTTCAGACTATTTTGGCCAAAATCAAAGTGTTATGATTATTTATATCAAGAAGCAGAAGCTCTTCTGAAAAATTTTCCAATTCAAGCCACAATTTCATTTTATGAAGATTCTGATAGTGAAGACGAAACTGAGGAGCTGATCTGTGAAAATTAACCTGATTACTTTTGATGACATTTAAAGCTTGTAGGTACAAATTAGATTAGTGTACAAATGTATCATAATCCTTTTTAAATTATTTGTATATAAATTATTAATAAAATGAAATATTTAGTAATTACTATGGTAGTTTGGCCTTTTTTAATCCCTACACTATAATTCAGTGTTGGAATTTAAAAATAGGTTCTGTTTACAAGTGTCTTGATTGTATTGTAAACATTTGGAGCTTACAAAAGATAATTTCGATTGCTTCATCAAATTACAAATTTATCTTTGTTTATAATTTTGAAAACATTTATGTATGACTTTTCAAAAAATAACAATATTTAATTTTCAAGACTGAATTTGTAACATCTGGTATTTCCTACTGATCCCCATTAGATGTTGTAGTTACAGATGAGTATTATTAGGTAATGAGGAAAATCACCTTATGTTATCAATCACATGTTACTATTATGTATTAGCTAGCAGATGGTGAAAAAGATTGTAAATCATTGTCTATAATTAAGATTGGGAATCAATGTTAGGACTATTAAATTTTAGCAATTTTAATGAATGGTGAGTCAAGTTATTCTCACTTTAATACTCTTCTGCTGCCCTTAAATTCAGCAGTAAAATAGCATGTGTGTTTAGTACTTATGGCACCACACTGAGGGATCCCCATAGTTCAGACAAAACCTCTAACTTAAATGGAGTCTAAAAAGGGGGAGACAAAATGCCAGAATTTTATAATCATTTTTTCATTTCAGTCCACAAGGGAGCTAAGAAACTTGGCAGATAGGAAACATTCTCCAATAATATCACCTTCCATTGCTCTGGTTCCCAGGTCCTATATTCTCATTTAAAAAATTTTCTCCTGGGAAATACGAAATTCTTAGTGATTAGCTTTAAAAAAAAGATTTATAGATAACATCCTTTTTTAATGAAAGAGAAAACAGGAGCACTTTGCATGGTAGAGGTAACATAGTAATTATGATCATGAAAGTCTTTTAGCTCAAATACAATCTTTTCAATTACAAGTAGCTGAAATACAAGCATTGCCATTGCTTAGCTAAGAAATGCCCCTTACTTGAATGGCTACATGCATTCACACACTTCCTCTTCTAATTGGAAAGAGACTACAAACATTGATTTACAGGCACTTTAAGAACAAAGCAATTGAAATAGAACAAGTTCAAACCATGTTTCATAGTCAGGAAAAATTAGTTACAGAAAGAGGATAGAGAGAGTTACTTAGAACTATATTTCTTCTCTTGAAAACTTTCCTTTCACTGGATTCTACTCTAGGATATACGTGTTCCCCAAGAGACATGCAAAACCCCACCAGATCATACATCCAACATGGACCTTGAGCATTAGAGAGTGGTGTTTGCCTGCACAGTATTTATGCTGCTGTTATTAATATGTTGGAATAGTATTAAGAGCCACAGTCACATTTATTGAGTGCCTACCATTAGCCAGACATCTCACTTAATCCTTACTAAGACCTAAACCCATTAGGTAAATGGAAAATGAGGCATTGAGATATTGCTCATTTATTAACCCCAGGGATGGCATCCAAACTAAACCTATCTGAGTGTTAAACTTGGCTAACTGTGCAACACAACATTCGGGGGTGAGCTGCATTAGTCACATTTCGCCGTATCTTTCAAGAAAGAGAGGAAGTTAAATGAGGAGGAAGACCTTGTGAGTGGGTGAATGGAGCAGAGTGAGAATTTACTAACCTCTTCAACTCGTTCACTAGTCATTAGCGAGAGTTCTTAAAGGGTAAGTGTTCTCTGCACCTCACAGGAGTGCCTGTTTGCATTTGACATCTCAGCTCTTAAAAGTTCTCTTTTCCGTACAGATTGGTGCCTTTAAAGAGAGTTTCTGGCAAATCAAAAAGCCTTAATAGTGTTATTTTATTCCATATTTCAAGCAGTGTGGTGATAGTGCTTTAACAATGGACAGACAGCTGTGTTCTGGGTTCACAGGCATCTCTAAAAATTTATTCTCAGATTCGGTCAGCACCAAGGCTTAGCAACAGTTTCACTCTTTAATCTATCCACGGAATAGCTGTCACCTCCTTGCAGTGCTGAAATTCTGGATGCAGGACGAATGGGGCATGCGTAGTTTGCAGTGGTTCCGCCCCAGCCCGCTCTCCGTTCGCCTCGTTGGCTCCGCCCCACGGCCTCGACGTGCTGCGTCATGGCGCGCCTCACCCCGGGCGACCCCGGAAGTGGGTAGGGGGCTTGGCCTCTGCCCGGCCTCGGAGCCGGAGCCGGAGGTGTTACTCCACAGGCGTTGAGCTGAGCTGTGGAGTCGGGCGGCGGACCCCGGGCAAGGCCCGGGCCAGGGGTCCAGGATGCTGAACGTCCCTTCCCAGTCTTTCCCGGGCCCCAGCTCACAGCAGCGCGTCGCCTCCGGGGGGCGTAGCAAGGTAAGAGCGCTGCAGTCCTCTCTTCTCGCCGGCATCTCAGGCTCCGGCACAGTCCGTTCTCTCCTTACGCTTTCCCACCTCCTGCCCCCACCTCCTTCCCCCACCTCCGGCTTTCATTCCCTCCTACCCTTGCTGGCGATCTCTTTCAGATACCATGCGTTCTCCAGTCCTGGAACTCTCTTAACCTTCATCTCTTACCAGCTGGCCCCTTTTCTTATGCATCCCTTCATCCCGTTCTGTCAGTTCCCTTCTTCCAACTCTTTTTCCCATTAATCAAATTCAGATATAAGGTAATGCCAGGCTCTGTGCTTCCCATATTGTAGATACTCTGTATCGGCTTCCTTCCTTCAACATAACCTGCTCTCCGTTCTTTTATTCACTTTCCGAAGGGGTTGTGAGCGATCTGGGTTTCCTAGAAGAGGGGAAAGGCTGGGCAATAGCAACAGTGACCAGTATTTATCCTGCCAAGGGCGGGGACTCCAGGACCTAGGGAAGATTGGAGAAGAGAGAACCAATTTCTATACAAACCTCCGGTTAGGTTTAGGGACACTTCTCCAAGGCACACTGCCTTTCTCTCTTGCTCTGATTCTTGATTGTTTTATCACTGTCTTTTCTACTGATATCTCTTGCTAATTTTGAAGCTAATAATCTCTTTAATCTCTCTAAGATTTTGTTGAACATACTGTTACCAACAGGTGGGATGCAAATGTGTTTTATATTTGCAGAATTTAATGAAATTGTCTCCCATGTTCATTGCAATATGAATGTTGCTTGCTCCTGTTGTTAGTTCCTCATTCAATAACCACATCTTCATGTTTTGTTTTCAAGACTTCCACCTGATCGGGCCATTCCTTTCTTCATTTCTGGACTCTTGAGTCTTTAGCATTAACATCATTTGGGAACTTCATCAACTTTATTTTCTCCACATGGACCTGGAGTTTGACCCTAGGTCAGAATTATGAGTTCAGAGATTTGTAGCTTCCATTAGCTTTTTCAGAAGTCTGTAATCCCAACTATAATAATATAACTGAGATTGATTAAATGCTTACTGACAGCCTGAGTGCTTTACATGTATTAACTTGTGTAGTCTTTCCAGTGACCCTGTGAAGTGGATGCTTTTGTTATCGCCATTTCACAGCAAAGGAAACAGGTTAAGAAATGCTGCCTTGAAAGAGTCTTCATATGGTGTGACTCTGATGGTGACTTTTCTTTTATTGCTCCATATATTGGCCAACCATCCAATCACTTGTCCTCTCCTTGGGGTTTGACCTGTTTCTCTCCTTAAATGCTTGGCTAAATAGTAGAAACTTTGCAAAGAAAGAACCTCTGAATTAGAATATGAGGGTTGCTGCCCTTCTCCTTTAAAGCTATCAGCCATGTTCTCAGTATCATTTAAAGGAAATGGTAGTGATGTCACAGGTGAGTGTTTGGGCCCAGAAAGTGAATAAAATAAGATTAGTGTACAGTTCACACTCAGACTGATTTTTTTTTTCCCCCTTTGTGAAATTGTTGCTGAACTGAACTTGGGTTCACTTGCCTGACATGCAGCAAAGCCAGTCCACTGACACTGGGTTGTGATGGAGGAAAGTACAGCTTTTATTTGCAGGACATCAAGAAGGCAAAGGAGAAGAGAGTGACAGAGGATGAGGTGGTTGGATGGCATCACTGTTGCAATGGACGTGAACTTGGGCAAACTCTGGGAGATGGTGAGCGACAGGGAGACCTGGCGTGCTGCAGTCCATGGGGTCTCAAAGAGTTAGACGCAACTTGGTGACTGAACAACAGCAAGAAGCAGGGAGAACAGGCAGCTAATGACCAAAAGACCCAAACTCCATGATGGCTTTCAGGCAAAGATTTTTAAACTCAGCATTTGAGATGAGAGTCTCAAGGTGCATGGTTAGCTTGTGGATCTCTTCTGTTTGGTTGCTGGTAATATTTTAGAAATCTCAGTCCTCTGTCTTGTTCCAGCCAGTCTAGGGTCTGTATGCTTGTGACTAGCAGTTTCTGTCCCTTGAGGTTCTGGTTTCTGTAAAACAACTCAAGGACATTAGGTTGTTAACTGTATCCGTTCAGGAGGGACTAGGAGCTCTGTGACGATGTTATTTTCTTGCTTGACCAATGTTCCTGGGTTTCTGCATTTTCTCACATCTGTAGTCTTAGCTGTTTGAGTCTGCTCTTTGGGATTAGGGGAAGGCCTCCAAGGCAAAAGCTTTTTCTAGAAACAAGAAGCAGGGACACGTACCCGGGAGGGTCCCTTAGGGCCCTGCTCAATCAAAACTGGCTAATCTGGAAGATGTGAGAACCTGTGTCAGGAGTGTATGAAATAGGTTGTGGGTGAGAAGACAGAACTTAGTTGGGGAGGTTTGTGTATCACAATTGTTAGAAACATGGGCTTTTGAGTGAGAAAGATTCATTCTTTTTCCATCTCTACCTTTTAGCCTCTTTGAGTCTCTTTCCTCAGTTGTAAATGGGAATAATATGAATCATATCCATTTTATAGGATTGTTCATAGGATTAAATGAGCTAATGTTTCTCTCAGCATAGTCCTGAGTTATCGTAAGCACTTACTAGGTGTTACTGGCCTGTAGACTTTTACGCAGACCTCATTGATTGTTGAGGGATTGCTGTGTGAAAAAGCCCGTAGCACAGTGCCTGGTGCAGAGTATGCACTCAGTGTGGTGGCTAATGTTATTTCTAATAAGCAACTAGTAAGTATTTATTGAGAACCTATCATATGCTCGAGATGTGGTCTTTGTTGGGGAGGGAGAAATTTCCACTTTTATCCATCCCTCTTGAGTTCTTGTGGCTAGACTGATAAAGTTGACACAAGACAGATTAGCAGTAGAAAAGATTTAAATTTTATTCATGCTTTTAAGCTTTCAGACAATAAATTTGATGCTGAAAGCTCAGCTTCTGTGTACCCTCATGCTGAATCAGACCTTGGAGACAGAGTTTGGTGAAGTGGGAAAGGACGGCTTCACTGCTTTGCCAGGCAGAGGGAGACAGGGCAGGCTCTTGTCCACAAACCACACGTCCCGACTTGGGCAAGAGAGTGGCAAGTCCTGAGGTAAAGAAGGTGTGATCAGCTCGTGGCCAGTTCTTCCGATGGGTTGGTGGTGAGGTAAAGAGGAGTCACTGGAAAAGACCCTGATGCTGACAGAGATGGAGGGCAGGAGGAGAAGGTGGCAACCGAGGATGAGGTGGTTGGATGGCATCATCAACTCAATGGACATGAGTTTGAGCAAACTCCAGGAGAGAGTGAAGGACAAGGAAGCCTGGTGTGCTGTTGTCCACGGGGTCGCAAAGAGTCAGACAGACAACTGAGCAACTGAACAACAACAAATAGGAGTCAACATCGACAGCCTTCAGGTCCAGCTGCTCTGGGGAACTGTGTGCTTGTAGGCAGCATACCATAACTTCCCCCACCTAGAAGGGGTTTCACTATCTGCAAAAACAGCTCAAAGATACTGTTGGGCTTCCTAGGTGGCTCAGTGGGTGAAGAATCCTCCTGTAATGCAGGAGACACAGGAGATGCAGGTTTGATCGCTGGGTTGGGTAGATCTCCTGGAGAAGGAAGCGGCAGCCCACTCCAGTCTTCTTGCCTGGGAAATCCCGTGGACAGAGGAACCCGGCAGACTGCAGTCCATGGGCTCGCAAAGAGTCGATGCAACTGAAGGACCTGAGCACGCAGACTTGATGGGGAAACAGGAACTTGCCCCAAGACTGCTCTTGACTGCTTCTCCCTGGCCTCACCACCCCTCCCTTCCCTAATTAGCAGCTGCTTGAAGCTGCCCATCGGAACTCAGGGAAGGTCACAGAGGCTTAACAAAGGCTGTTTCCAGTAATCAAAGAAATGAGGGACACAGAAAAGCTCTGTGCCCAGGGGCCCAAGAGGGCCCTACACGATACCAAATTTGAGAGGAATTGATGGCACAGAGAAACTTAGGTTTGGGTACTTAATTAGTAAGGAATTTTGGGTAGTAGATGAGTAAAGAAGTAACACAGCTTGCTTATAGTCTTCTGGGCCCTGAATTTCCTATCGCTGAGAGAAGGGTGTCTTTCTACCTTCCAGTACAGGAAGGGCACCTTCCACAGGGGAGATTTGTTTCCTGCTTTCAAGGAGACCAAGAGAGTGGTCCAAGGATTTGTCTTGCATGGCCTGTGCTGGGCCCCAACGGCTCTGTTTTCAACGAGTATATTAATCCAGTGGGCTTTACAGTTATAAATGCCTAAGGACTATAATTATAACTATATACAGTTATGACCACGAAGAAGTTGATGCCAGAGAAAGCTTCTGGAGGAAGTAATGTCTGTGGCGGGGAGGGGCGAATCATTTTCCATTTGCCTAAAATATGGAACTCTAGTATTTGTGCCTGGAGAATCCCCATGGACAGAAGAGCCTGGCAGGCTATAGTCCATGGGGTCACAAAGAGTCGGACATGACTGAACGACTAAGCACAGCATAGCAAAGTATAGAATGGCTACCCAGGTAGCTTAGTGGCAAGGAGTCAGCCTGCCGACGCAGAAGACGCAGGAGACGCGTGTTGGATCCCTGGGTCGGGAAAATCCCCTGATGGAGGTAATGGCAACCCGCTGCAGTATTCTTGCCTGGGAAATCCCATGGATGGAGACCCTTGGTGGGCTACAGTCTATGGGGTTGCAAAGAGTGGGAAGAGACTGACTGAACATGCACATTTGCAAAGCATAGAATAGGAAGGGACTAAAGTGCAGACATGGAGCTAGTGAAGTCAACTCCAACCAGATTATGAAGGGCGTGGTCAACCTCTCTAGGGAATTTAGAAACATTATAAGAAATATGAGGAGCCACTGAAGAAGGCAGGGCCCTGAATTAGATCTGCATTTCCAAAAGATAACTTTTAACTACCCTGCGGGTATGGAATGGTGAAAGAATCTTTCCTGTCTTTGGGATAGGAAAGATCATATGTTCTCACACTTCATTTATGAAGACCAAAGAGACCTAGAGAGTTGTAGTTAGTGATGCTAAGAATAGGATGACGAGGATTAGTAAGAAGAAATGTGAAATTGGCAAGGCACCACAGAACTATTAACCTGACTATTTGGGGACAATTGAATGTCTAAAATAGATATGATTTAGGGAATTAAGACATGTAAGCATTTTAGTCCTTTGGGCTTCTCTAACAGAATACCATAGGTGCCTCATAGACAACAGAAACTTACTTCTCACACTTCTAATTGATCTCAGGTCACTTCGACCTGCAGCAGCTTGAAGCAGGGCTTGGGTTCCTGGCCAGAGCTTGAGTTGTAGCGGTGAGAACACCGAATCCTAGCCAACAGGCTAGCAGTCAGTGACAAGGCCCTGGCCCTTCGGCTTTGCAGAAAAAGAATTCCCACAAAGACAGAAAGTGGTGAAACAAGTAAAGTATATTATTAGGAGGCAAAAGAGTACAGTACATGTGGATAGACACACAGGCAGACTAAGAGAGGGTTGCTGAGTCGTACCCTCATGGCAGTTTGAATTACTTACATGGGGCATGTCTTCTGGGTTTCCTTTGGCCAGTCTTTTTTTTTTTTTTCATTTATTTTTATTAGTTGGAGGCTAATTACTTTACAACATTGTAGTGCTTTTTGCCATACATTGACATGAATCCACCATGGATTTACATGTGTTCCCCACCCTGATCCCCGCTCCCACCTCCCTCCCCATCCCATCCCTCTGGGTCTTCCCAGTGCACCAACCCTGAGCACATGTCTCATGCATCCAGCCTGGGCTGGCGATCTGTTTCACACTTGATAATATACATGTTTCAATGCTGTTCTCTCAGATCATCCCACCCTCGCCTTCTCCCACAGAGTCCAAAAGTCTGTTCTATACATCTGTGTCTCTTTTTCTGTCCTGCATATAGGGTTATCGTTACCATCTTTTTAAATTCCATATATATGCGTTAGTATCCTGTATTGGTCTTTATCTTTCTGGCTTACTTCACTCTGTATAATGGTCTCCAGTTTCATCCATCTCATTAGAACTGATTCAAATGAATTCTTTTTAATGGCTGAGTAATATTCCATGGTGTATATGTACCACAGCTTCCTTATCCATTCGTCTGCTGATGGGCATCTAGGTTGCTTCCATGTCCTGCCTATTATAAACAGTGCTGCAATGAACATTGGGGTACACATGTCTCTTTCAGATCTGGTTTCCTCAGTGTGTATGCCCAGGAGTGGGATTGCTGGGTCATATGGCAGTTCTATTTCCAGTTTTTTAAGAAATCACACTGTTCTCCATAGCGGCTGTACTAGTTTGCACTCCCACCAGCAGTGTAAGAGGGTTCCCATTTATCCACACCCTCTCCAGCATTTATTGCTTGGAGACTTTTGGATAGCAGCCATCCTGACTGGCGTGTAATGGTACCTCATTGTGGTTTTGATTTGCATTTCTCTGATAATGGGTGATGTTGAGCATCTTTTCATGTGTTTGTTAGCCATCTGTATGTAATCTTGGGAGAAATGTCTGTTTAGTTCTTTGGCCCATTTTTTGATTGGGTCATTTATTTTTCTGGAATTGAGCTGCAGGAGTTGCTTGTATATTTCTGAGATTAATCTTTTGTCTGTTTCTTCATTTGCTATTATTTTCTCCCAATCTGAGGGCTGTCTTTTCACCTTGCTTATAGTTTCCTTTGTTGTGCAAAAGTTTTTAAGTTTCATTAGGTGCCATTTGTTTATTTTTGCTTTTATTTCCAATATTCTGGGAGGTGGGTTATAGAGGGTCTTACTGTGATTTATGTCAGAGAGTGTATTGCCTATGTTCTCCTCTAGAAGTTTTATAGTTTCTGGTCTTACATTTAGATCTTTAATCCATTTTGAGTTTATTTTTGTGTATGGCGTTAGAAAGTGTTCTAGTTTCATTCTTTTACAGGTGGTTGACCAGTTTTCCCAGCACCACTTGTTAAAGAGGTTGTCTTTTTTCCATTGTATATTCTTGCCTCCTTTGTCAAAGATAAGGTGTCCATAGGGACGTGGATTTATCTCTGGGCTTTCTATTCTGTTCCATTGATCTATATTTCTGTCTTTGTGCCAGTACCATACTGTCTTGATGACTGTGGCTTTGTAGTAGAGCCTGAAGTGGCCAGTCATTTTGATTTGCCTGGTTCAGAGTCTGTGTTGGTATATCTCAGAATCCTCCAATGTGTGTGCACACATCTCTTAGCCAAGATGGACAGTGAGCCTATGGGTAAAGAGCATCAGTTGGCATCTGTCCCGTTTTGACTTCCAAGGATCCTTTCTGCACAGATGTAGTCGGGGAGATCGCCTCTCTCAGTTGTCCAGCTGTTCTAGTCTTGGAGTTTTGGTCAACCGGGAATGAATCTCCAGTGACTTTACCCTAGAGGGCCCATCTGCCTCCTGCCTCATCATGACTGGGAAATCCAAGATCAGTGCAAAACCGGCCAGTTTTGTGTCTGGTGAGAGCCTGATTCCTGGTTTGTAGCCATCTTTTCAGTGTCCTTACTTGGTGGAAGAGGTGGGGGAGCTCTCTATATGGCGTCTTTTATAAGGGCCTTAATCCCAACAACCTCGTCACCCACCAGAGGCCCCACTTCCTAATACCAGCACATCGAGGATTAGCATTTCAACCTAATTTGGTGGGGGGATACAAACATTCAGTCTATAGCAAGAAGCTTCCTTGGGTAATGTGACTGCTTTTACATTAAACAATTGTCTGGTACTATATTACATACTAGTTATACAGGTTAGATGTCTGGAAAAATTTCTACTAGGGTGTCTTAACTGGTCAAAATACTAATGACATAATAATACTCCTTTTCTAAAAGCCTTGAAAATGTATTTTGTATTAAACACAAAACCCTGCAAAATCCCAAACATCTTGTTATTAGACCCTCTGAACAGGTGCAGGCAGAGTTTTGTGGACACGGCCATATAATAAATATTTTAGGCTTTGAGGATGTCATAAGGACTCAGTCTCTTCACCACCACCACCACCACGTGTAGAAATTATTCTTGGCTCAAGGGCTGCACAGAAACAGGCACAGACCCATTTGCCAGCCCCTTCCCTGGAGTGAAGCTGTTTTATTGTTTTCTATTACTTGATAACCATTGTTTCTTGGTGGATAGATTCTTAGAAAACATCTTTCTATTTCATGTAGTTCTAATACTCTGTGTATGTTGAAAGTCCGGAAAGTCAACTTTAGCCAATTGTTTCTATTTTCTTCTATCAAATTTCATTTGATTTTTTTAAGGCAAAAAAATGTTGGTCCAGGTTAGTAAGCAGCTACAACATATTAGTGATAGAGCCAGGACCAAAACTTGTCTTCTAACTCTGGGTTCAGTACTACCCTTGTACTATGATTTCATTAGATCAACATTTGTGTCCAGAATTTCTAGACCCCATCTCATGGCCCAGGTGTTTTATATAATGTTCCATTTGTAATTCTAATACACCCTCCTAAAGATGAAAGAAGATTTTTAGAATTTTTAGATTTGTTTTCGTATCCTTTTGAGTGGGAATCAGAGTAATGAAGTGTCCTGAAGACAAGCAGCAGGAGGGGGAAGGAAATGCAGCTGACTTGAAGAAGCCACGTTGAATTCTTCACTTTTCCTTTTTGAGGTCCCTCTGAAACAGGGCAGAAGTCTCATGGATTGGATTCGACTGACCAAAAGTGGAAAGGACCTAACGGGATTAAAAGGCAGGTTAATTGAAGTAACTGAAGAAGAACTTAAAAAACACAACAAAAAAGATGACTGTTGGATATGCATAAGAGGTAGGTGGAATTTACTGTGTACTGCAGAATGTTTTGGCGGGCTTTCCACAATGGTAATGCTATACACCTCTTGGCCCTGTTACTTGGTAATATGATTCACAGTTAGTAACAAACATGTTAGTTAGTAACTATAAACACAATTTTCAGTTAGTAACATTTGCAGTTAGTAAAAAGCGTGTCTTAAACAGGACAATAAATTCTTTAATTCTGAATTTGGACAGTATTTCTCTCCAAATCACTGTTCATACAGTATCCCTGTACTGTATTCCCTTTGAAAGATAACAAGGGTTTGACAGATAATATAATACAAACTAATGAAATTATTCAACAACATGTAGTTTAAATGCAACAATGTCCCACCTTTGTGTCTTACAACAGAATTCCATAGGAAAAAAATTGTCTCTGAGACAAGCAGGATCTTTTGTTTTCATTTGCAGCAATTTTTATTACTTAATCCATGTTTATTAGCAATATTAGTTACTAGCCCACAACAAATTAGAAGCCCCAAGCTGGAAATACTGAATTGGCCAAAAAGTTCATTCAGATTTTTCCGTAAGATATTGTAGAAAAACCTGAACGAAGTTTTTGACCAACTCAATAGATAGATTGGAGAGAGTGAGCAGAGAAGTAGAACAGTAGCTGATGGAAGTAGACTTCGTGGTGTCTGCCAGCCTGGCATGGGGAGGGAAGCAAAAACAATGAAGGGCTTACAGCTATATGCCGGGTCTCCATGGAGAGTCCTTGAGTCATCCAGGAAGAGTTCAGTATATTTGCTATCCTCAGTCTAAAGAGGAAAGGAAATGCATCACTCATTGCTGTTATCGCTCTTGTAATTTTATCATTGTGTAATTTTGATTTGGTGTGTGTGTGTGTGTGTGTGTGTGTGTGTGTGTGTGAGTCACTCAGTCGTGTCTGACTCTTTGTGACCCCACGGTCTGTAGCCTACTAGGCTCCTCTGTCCATGGAATTCTCCAGGCAAGAATGCTGGAATAGGTTGCCATTCCCTTCTCCAGGGTGTTTTCCCAACCCAAGTGTTGAACCTGGGTCTCCTGTATCGTGGGCAGATTCTTTACCATCTGAGCCAGCAGGGAAGCCTCTTCTTGTTAGTTATCCTGATAACACTGTCACCCGTATGAGGGCAGAGACCACGCCAGTCACCTGCCCTGCCTTCAGTGCGTGCCACATTCAGGTCATCCCTTTGTGTTTGTTGAACTGGTGCAACACTTACCATTTTCAAGAAGTTTGTTTACTTGAAGAGGCGTGTGGCTGTCACAGTCAATCAGAGATAGGATAAATGGAAAGACACCAGTAGCCCTGTCAGTTTGCTAAGTGGGCCCAAGCAAAATATAACAAACTGAGTGACTTGAACCACAGAAGTTTATTATCTCCCAGTTCTGAAGGCTAAACTTTGAGATCAGGCTAATCTTTGGGCTTGAAGGAGAAACTGTTCCATGCCTCTCACCTCTCTTCTGGTGGTTTGCTGGCAGTCTTTGGAGTTGCTTGGCTTGTTGGAAAATCACCCTGATCTCTGACTTCATCTTTATATAACTTTCCTCCTGTGTGCTTGTCGGTGTCCAGATTTGCTGTTTTTAATAAGGACACCAGTCATATTGGAGGAGGAGCCTGCCTGATTCTCTTATGACCTCACCTCTGTGTTGACCCCATATCCACATAAGGTCATGTTCTGAAGTACTGCAAGACTTTAACATCTGAGTTTGAGGGATACACAGGTAAACTCATTACAGATGGAATTAGTGTGCAGAATGTTTTCCAGCAGCAGAGGGTATGGAATCTCCCAGCAGGGGCTGGGATAGCTTGTCCCAAGACAGATGCTGTTTGGGAAGTTTCTCAGGGAAATAAAGTGTTTCTAACACCCTCTTGCCTTCTGTGTGTGCTGCAGACCCGCTTACCAGGTGCAGGTCACTGGCAGCGGGTGCCGCCCCCATTCTGCCTGAGTGTCTTCTGCTGGCCTCTGTGAAGTGGAGGTCAGCTTTCCCATGAGCATCTCTCAGCTGGTCCAGGCTGCTGGCATGTCTGACCTGTTTCTGCAGTAGGAAGCCACTTTTCCAGAAAAGTCTCTCATGTGAACCCTTCACATCCTAATGCTGTTAAATAAATGAGCCGTTGTTATAGGACAGTCATACTTTATTATTCATTTGATATATTGGTGGAGACCAGGGACTAGTTTGCTGTGTTTGAAACATAACACATGTACCCAGCTACATATCTCCCGCAGTGATTTGAATGGCTGACACTCTTCCAGTGAGGTCATTGATTTAAGGTTAAATTCTTTTAGAGTTTCTATTGAACAGTATATTCTACCCTGTTAATAAGACTTCTCCCCCGATTGCCAAGTAAGATGTCTTTTTTTTTTTTCCTGTTGACAGAATTTGGTTTTTAATTTCAATCAAGCAGCAGTTGATTGAGGCACTGCCCTAGGATCCTTCTGCTAGCAGGAGAAAGTAAATGACTGTTGGACAAGACCTGAAGAAGTGCCCTATGAAGGCTGTAAGGAAAGTGAGACCAGACTTCAGGGAGGGAGATGTGGGCTAGGAAAGTCAGAGACACTTTTATGATAGAGATGAGCCTTGAAACTGTCTTCAGGATTTCAGTGGGAAGTGAGGGTGTCGACACAGAAAAGCTGGAGGTGTGTTCTGGAGCTTAGTCTTCCTGTTAAGAGAATTATAAGAAAGGAGACTATAAAGGCACGTTAGGGAAGATTGCGGAGGACCTTGAAAACCAGACTGAGAAATGTATTCTTAATTTTGATTGCATTGTGAACTATTGGAGATGTTTGAAGGTGGGAACAGTATGATCAGAGATGGCCTTGGAAAGATCAGTCTGGTGATGGGTATAGTGAATTGACATGAGACTAGCAAAGTTTTTAGCTCATACAAAAGTTCAGGAGGTAATAGATAAGCCAGGATGTTGTCAAAGGCAACAAAGTAGGATGAATGTGAGACAGACAGATTACTGGTCATCTAGGAAAGTAGAAGAAAGCACAGGACTAAATGTAATTGTCTTTTTCTTCTTAATTGTTCTAATTTAAAATGTAAATGATACCTTCCTAAAGGAACTGTATGCCAGATCTAGCTTCAAAGGTCAGAGATAGTGTTTGGACACAAGTTTTAATCAAAGCTGTACCACAGAGAAGCACAGATCATGGTATAAATTTTTATCCTCATTTTTAAAATCTTCATTTTCTAACAATTACACCATTTTTATGTCAGTTTAGATTTCAGCTTGATCGGCCCAAGAGAGACATAAAGTGTCTCTATAGGAAATATATACTTTAGTTTGTAATATTTAATGTCTGCAGTAGTGTAGTGTTAGCCACTCAGTCATGTCTGATTCTTTGCAACACCGTGGACTATAGTCAACCAGGCTCCTCTCTGTCCATGGAATTCTCCAGGCAAGAATACTGGAGTAAGTAGCCATTCCCTTCTCCAGGATGTTGAATAACACATTCAGTCCTATATGACTGTTACAGACACCATGGACTGTAGCACACAAGGCCCCTCTGTCCATGGAATTTCTCAGGCGAGATTATTAGAGGAGGTTGCCATTTCCTCTTCCAGGGGATCTTCCTGACCCAGGGATCAAACCCACATCTCTTGTGTCTCGTGTATTGCAGGCGGATTCCATTGAGCCATCAGGGAAGATTTCTACCCCCTTTATCTAGTAACTAACAGGAGATTCTTGGGATTGGCTCTGATTGGCACAGTTTTGATCATGTTCTGATTGCTAGAATAGTGGTTCTATTTAGGGGGAAACGGTATAAGTTAATCACTTAAACCTAGGTTACAAGTTCATCCTGTAGCTTAGAGAGGGGCCAAACTGAAGTGTCAGGGAGGATATGACTCCTTGAACAAAAAGTGATGCTGTTGCTGGAAGTGGAGCGGGTCCTGGAGTTAATGCCACTACAGAAAGTAGAGTACCTTGCCAAAGTCATAGCTGATGAAAATGGAGCCACTATTTTAACCTAGGCAACTTGATTCTAAGCTGTTATGCTTAAACTACATTGCACTGCTTCCTGTTTTATCATATTCAACTCTAGATTGGATCCTGGCTTAGCCTTTGTGCCATAACCCACTTGTGAGTGCCATTTGTGAACTAATTCATTATGAAGTTACAGTGAAGTGCCTATTACTTGCAGCTCTTCTCTTGTGCTAAATAACATTACTAATTAAAAGTCATACAGGTTTTTCCATAAGATATTACCAAACAATCTGAACAAAGATTGAGACAATTTTTATTTTTAGAAATTTAGGGAAGTATAGCTTTTACTTTTTTGTGTGACTGTGTGTGTTGTTGTCACTCATAGAAAATAGAGGCTGTAAGTTTTACCTTCTTTTGCTGTGTATTGGTTCACCATTTAAACAGTAGTTCCTGGGATCTGCTATGTGTCCTGCACTGTACCAGGCCCTGGGTTGTGACCTGGAAATTTAGAACAGAGGTGCCCCCTGCTGTTACGGAATTTATAATCTAGCGCAGAACACGAAGTGTTAACCAAGACTGAGGAGTATTGTGAAAGCGAGGTCTGCTGCACTAAGAGGGAAGACTGGAAGACTAAGCAGAGATCAAAGATAAGTGGGTATGAACCAGACAAAGAGGAAAGGGAACAATACTGTAGGTTCCGGAAAAAGCGTGTGCACAGTTTGGATGCTGTGACTATGTAGGGGAAAAGGTGCCTATGTACACATGTAACTGACTCACCCTGCAATACAGTAGGAACTAAAACACCATTGCAAAACAACGATTTGCTAATAAAAATTAATTAAAATAAAAATTTTTTTTAAAGCCCAAGTGCAACACATAAGTATTCATTGTGAATATGAGGAACTTCAAGTTAGTGATACCTGTATTCTTTCTTCTCTCCCTTGTGTTAAAAAGTCAAACACTTTCTTTCTAAGGCTCACTCTTTTCTAAGGCTTGATCCTTTTTGTGCTCCTATCAGTTCTCTTCAGCCTCCTCTGTGATTTCAGGCAGTTGCTGAACCA